CACGAACCGTATGTAGTACGAGCCGGTTCCGGTTCTCGGAAAAAGTGAACCGGCCCATGGCCGTGTCTAACCCGATGTGATGTGGGATCACCTTAACCCCCTTGTGTGAGTTACACGTGCTGTGAATGTTGTGGGAGATGGGAAATACAAGTATAGGATGACGTGGCCCGATCTAATTGGTCAGGGTCCAACGTGATAACCCCATCGTAATTTTATTTTTTCCTGGAAAGCATTTACATTATACTACTATAATTAAATTGGAAGGAAAATAAAAATAAAAAGAAACGAAAAATGTAACACACGTGCGGGGATATGGTAGTACGCAATATGACCCTCAGACTTGAAAGGCTCCATCCACGTGTTATTACAGTATCCTCATTATTATTACCGTTGTATATATAATATGTGTGTATGTGTGCTGTCCGTAAAAATATATTTTTCTCTTGACACACATAATTTCAGTATTTTTATTTTTCTATTTTTGGGGCGGAGATACAATTCTGGGGTTCAGAATTATTACAAGGCTAACAGGAAAAAATAAATTAAAAATTAAAAAAAAAAAGAAGTAGTTTATCAATATTATTATGTTATTCAGAATAATTGTGGGAGGTCATTCGCAGCTTCTCATTTGACTTTTTGTGGGTGATTCCTGGTACGCTCTTCTCTTTTTTCTTGCCTTTTTTTTTTTCTTTTTTTCTTTTTCATTTTTTATTTTCCATTAATATGCATTTTTTTAAAAGAATATTGCTCTGTTATTGGGTAGCAGTTGGAACAGAGGTATTGTTATGGTGAGCTGTTTGTAATTTTTTATTTAATTACTTCAATTTATGTTTTTTTCGTTGTTTGGTTAATAATCATTTATTAATTGATTAAGAGATAATAATGTCAGCATTAATTTACCTCTTGATTATTGAAATTCTTCGCAATGTTTCGTGTCAGTGGAGATGAAATTTGGCTCAGGATTTTCATTTTTTGTTTGGGATTTTAATGTTTTCAAATAAAGCAATTGAATTTTCTATTTTTTTATTATTTATTGCAATATTTAAATATCAATGCAGAACATATTTGAATATGCTATAATACATTTGCCTCTGCCATTTTGGGTGAAATACACGGGTAGATCTTTACCATTCATATACACACAAACACATACACATCCGCATTGGTGTGTGTAGATCAACGGTAAACAATCCATCCGGTTTAATTAATATATCGGTAAATGGATGCTTGAATAATCGAAATTTGATAACTAATACGTGTTTTCATGACCATAAAACTTATTTCTAGTTATAGTATGGGATTACATTCCCATGTTCTGATAATAAATATTGACAACTCTGTTCCTCTAACGTACTTCTTTTTCGGTTCCTGATTGAATTTTCTTCGTAAATGTTTTATCAGAATGGAGGGCGATAATTTATTCAAAGAAATCGATCCTTTTGGATCATCTCCCACACCGATACTTCCACTTCCACACATAGATGCTTCGAAAAATCCCGACGGAGAATTATCCGTCGCTAAATTACCAACAAACGGAGATCTGCTTTCATCTTCTCCACATGCATATGGTGAGATCGAAAACAAAGATCCTCCTATCGAAAATCACAAAGATTTTACTGCAATAACATCCTTGTCTGAATCCAACATATCGACAAGTGCGTTGCCACAAGGAAAAGTCGAGTCAGCCCAATATATACACGATGATGATGTACATGAGTTTCTACACGATAATAATAATATTATTAATAATAATAATAATATGGAAGCTAAAATAGTTGCAAGGCCATCGCCAGACGACGATTATGCGGCTTCTTCTGCCATGTCGTTTCGTCACAGAAGACACGTCAGCGTTGATCTCATTGCCAAAATCCCCCCTAATTATAATAATAATAATAGCAGCAGCCCAAAATCCACGGAGTACTATAAAGTTCCGGGAAATGTACAAATCGACACTGCTGCGCCGATCGAATCTGTGAAAGCTGCCGTTTCAAAGTTTGGTGGAATTGTTGACTGGAAAGCCCACCGTGTGCAGACTGTCGAGGTATAATCTTCGTTCTTGCCTTTTTTTTTCTTTTCTTTTTATTAAGACATACATTCTTGTAAGCGGTGGAAATTGGAACAAAATTTCTGATTTCCGCCGATTTTGATCCAAAATTTTTCGATTTTGAAACAATATTTTTCATTACAAATTCCAAAATTCCAAAATTTTTATTTATTGAAATTGGAATAATTATGAGATTATGATTTGGATCCGATTTCAGTTTTCGAAAAATTCCGATGTTTTTTCCTGATATTTACACTTATAATGTCAAAGTTATTATGTATTTTGTATTTTGTATTTTAGGTGATTAAGAAACTGGAATTTTCTGAATTCCGCCGATTCCAATCCGAAGATTTCCGATTTTGGAACAAGTTTTTTTGGTTCCAATTTCCATTTTTTTAACAGAATTAGAATTAGTTTCACTTCCAATTTTTTTAACAGAATTAGAATTAGTTTCACTTCCAAAAAAAAATTGAAACTTTTCCGGAATTGCGATTTCCACCCTAAAGCGGGACAGTAATTATGGCTCTTATTTCATATCGTGCAGAGACGGAAGTTCATAGAACAAGAACTCGAGAAAGCACAGGAGGAAATGCCGTCGTACAAGCAGCAATGCGAGGCGGCTGAAGAGGCGAAAACACAAGTTCTGAAAGAGCTAGACAGCACCAAACGTCTCATAGAAGAACTAAAACTCAACCTCGAACGAGCACAAACAGAGGAGCAGCAAGCAAAACAGGATTCCGAGCTGGCAAAGCTGAGGGTGGAAGAAATGGAGCAAGGAATCGCCGACGAAGCCAGCTTTGCCGCCAAGGCCCAGCTGGAGGTGGCCAAGGCTAGGCACACAGCAGCAGTTTCCGAGCTCAAAACCGTTAAAGAAGAATTGGAGCAGCTGAAAAGGGACTTCTCTTTATTAATAGCCGAGAAAGACGCTGCTGTAAGAAAGGCTGAAGAAGCTGTCTCCACTTCCAAGGAAGTTGAAAAGTCTGTAGAGGATCTGACAATCGAACTTATTACAGTCAAACAGTCGTTGGAATCCGCACATTCTGCACATTTGGAGGCGGAGGAGCATCGAATCGGAGCAGTTATGGCTAAAGAACAGGACAGTGTGAACTGGGATGAAGAACTAAAGCATGCGGAGGAAGAGCTCGATAAACTAAACCAGCAAATGCTTTCGACAAAGGATCTCAAAGCAAAACTGACTAAGGCAACCGCTTTGCTGCATGACTTGAAAGCAGAATTGGCATCCTATATGGAATCTAAATCGGACGAAACCGTAAATTTAGAAGATGCCCTCGACGAACCGGAGAAAAAAACCCGTTCGGATATCGAGGCAGCCATTAGTGCAGCGAATGAGGAACTCACGCAATTGAAGCTAAAAATAGAGAAAGCAAACGACGAAGTCAACTTCTTGAAAGTGGCGGCCTCCTCGTTGCAAACGGAGCTCGAAAAGGAAAACAAGGAATTCTCGGCGATTCAACGGAGAGAAGAAATGGCTATTATCGCAATTTCGTCTCTCGAATCGGAGATGAGTAAAACGATGTCCGAAATCGCCCTCGTCGAGATGAGAGAGAAAGAGGAGAGAGAAAGAATGGGGGAGCTTCCGAAGAAACTACAAGAGGCGGCTCGAGAAGCCGAAGAGGCGAAAGCAACAGCTCAAACAGCTCGAGAGGAGCTCGATAAGGCTAGGGAGGAAGCTGAGCTGGCAAAGGCCGGGGCCGCCACCAGGGAGAGCAGATTACGAGCGGTCCGAAAGGAAATTGAAGCTGCGAAAGCCTCCGAGAAGCTTGCGCTGGCGGCAATAAACGCGCTGGCGGAAAGCGAGTCCGTTCAAAACGAAGATGATGATTCTTCTTCACCAGCTGGCATTACACTGTCTCTGGAAGAGTACTACGAGCTCAGCAAGCGGGCCCATGAGGCGGAAGAGCAGGCGAACGCTAGGGTTTCGAGCGCTCTGTCCAAAATCGAGGTTGCTAAAGAATCCGAACTGAGGAGCTTGAACAAGCTTGAGCAAGTCAGTCACGAGATGTCCGAACGAAAAGATGCACTGGAAATCGCTGTGCATAAAGCAGAGCAAGCCCAGGAAGGGAAGCTGGCGGTTGAGCAGGAGCTGAGAATGTGGAGATCCGAGCACGAGCAGAAACGGAAGGCGGTTGAAACGGGGCCCGCACCGATTAGCACGGGCAAGAGCCCACGAGCGAGTGTTGAGGAGGGTAAGGGATATGTGGTGGTTTCTGATACATCCACGCTTCATCAGAGGTCACCGAGATCTATTCCGAGCAATACGAGCAATAATACGGAAACGGAGTCTTCTCCGGAGCCGAAAGCTGTGAAGAAGAAGAAGAAATCCTTCTTTCCGAGGATTTTCATGTTTCTTGGTAGAAGGAAAGCGAATGCATCCAAGTCAAATTAACTATATCTCTACTATACATTTGTTTTTTACTTTTTAATATACTTTTTTTTCTACTTCTCATTCAATTTCCAGTGTTGTAACTTGTCATAAAAGCTCTTGTATTTTTTATTTTGTGGGGTTTTTTTTTTTTTTTCTATGTACTGATCAAATTAAATTTTACTCACAAATACTTAATAAAGTTTGGGATATAAAGAATAACAATTCTGGTTCTGTTTTTGGCTTCGATGTTGCATTGATAATTGCAGATAAAGCTGCAAAATTTTCTTCCCTCTTTTCGATTTTAACATCGTACCATGTACAAGGAAAATAACTGAATATGCACGAAAAATCGGCTACTCTTTCATTGCGAAAATATTCATCGTTTCGAATTGTTAACACATATTGCGAAAACTAATAAATATGCATGGATTATAGAACGGAAAAAAAAAACGTAGAAAGCGACTGAAATATGGATTAACCGAGTGATGCCGCACCTCACATCTTCGAAGGTTTGGGGAAAATGTCGGGAGTAAATTTCTGTGCTGCACTTATGCTACCCTTGATCTTTATTGCACCCCTAAAATTCATTTGAATAGAATTAAATCAAAATTTATAGAAAATATAATAAATTGAGTTGAATAAAACAGAGTTTAAGGATTCAATGAACCTCATGAAAGCAAACTGAGGATTCATCTTCCCAGTGGCAACCTTAATAAAATCATCATCTTTGAATGAAAAGGTAGCATCTGGTTTACCATCTTCATACACCCCTAATACAGTAATTAATTAGTGTAATTTAAGTCTTAAGATCACTAATTAGTAGAGCTGGAGCAGAGTATCTAAGAACCCTAACCCTAACCTTCTTTAACCTCCCCTTTCTTCAAATCAACGACGAAAGACTTCTCATTAAACCCGAGTTTCTGTGACGATCGGATAATTAAAAAAACAATTAATTTACGTCAAAAAAATCAGTGACGATCAGACAATTGAAACCCTAAGGAATGAGAGATCAATAACCTTGGGCGCGATATTGATCTGATAAACGAGTCCGATTTTCTTAATTAGCTGTTTTCCTGCATCGGTTGACATGTGGAGCTTCATCTGCTCCATTAGCGCGTCGGATTTCAGCTGAGTGGAGCTCGCCATCGGTTGTGGTGTCGTTCACGCGCCGGCGGTGGTGATGACTACTTATATATATATTTACATGAATCGTATGTATCTATCTATATAGATGAGTGGGGATGGGTAGGGGTGGTTGATTAGGAGGAAGCAAGTAACTGCCACCACCGCCTAGCACGCAACTCAAGGTCAGAAACTTTTCTGTTAACCATTTTAAAAAAATAATATACAATAAACAAGAAAATAAATTTGTTTTTAGGTATATTATTCTGATTAATTTGTTTTAGATACTGCATACGTAAGCTACAGTAAACTAAGCTTATATAACACCACACAAGCTCGATAGCTGACAAGAGAATTCGAACCTTGGGCCAACTAATACTGGCTCACGATCTGACCGCTAGGTCATTTCTTACGGGAAACATAAACTTTTGACAACATAACAAGAAACAAATAATAAAAAAAAATGTACTATCATCTTGAAAAAAAATTAACATTACATCTTAGATTTGATCTCTAATAAGGAAAATAAATCCTTGTACTGAAATTAATTATTGAGGACTCTAGTTTTATTAAAAAAAAAAAAAAAAGGGCCTGCCAAACTCATCCCTTGTGGGAGTATTAAGACAACTTGTAATAATAATCATGTGGACTACATTTGTGCAATAATTAAGAGCTTATCAAAAATCTCTTCTTTCTAATCTTCAGCAACACCATCCACTTGAACATTCTTTTCAAAGGGGACAACCTGAATAAACAACTTTTTTTTAGTCCTATAAAGTATAAGATAAACATCAATATTATGAGATTGATTTTTTTAAATTTTTTTTTTTTTTTTGTGAAACTACTGAAAAGAATTAAGTTTTAATTACTTGATCGTTTCTCAAAGCTATATCGATGGATGTTCTCGTTCTCTTAATTTCGTGTACCCTGTCAAACTTCTCTTCTTCGATATCTTCATCGTTAAAGTTCTGATCTGTCATCTCTGATAATTAAAAAAAAAAAAAAAAAAAGAAAGAAAATCAATCGACATCGAGACAAATGTGGAAGTGTCGTGCTCGAAATAAACCATTTCTACTTACGTGCATAATGAATGCACGTAAATTTCGATTAGTATGCTACCTTTCTTGCTAGAATTTCGATTCCACAAGTTAAAGTTACGGGCGGATTTTTGATTGAGAGTTGTAGCTGAAGAATCTTTGGCGCGTACTTTTCTGATTGGTTGTTTTTCTGAAGAGGATCTATAGTGCTGGATCCATGGATTCGCAAAAAGAACACCTTCCTCCTCTTGGTTAACTTCTTCTCTGTCTCCCTTAAACTCGATTTTCGACCAACATCCATCACGAAGAACCTTAAACTATAAATACATTAAAAAAATTATTAGATTCGAAAAGACAATTCGTAAGAAACAATAATCTTGAATTAAGACAACATAAGAAACACGAGAACAAGGGCACTAGCCAAACCTGGCTAGAAGGACCACCGGAGGCGGTGTTCTGCTTGGACGATTTTGACCCTGATAACAAATTCAATGATTTGTACAACTGGTTGACGAATGTAGCTTCCATTGATTTGAGATACAAGCTGTGTTTCTCGTCTGTCCATTCTGCGGGCTTCGATTCTGTTGCCACCTGAATTATTGCATTAAGCGAAAAATCGAACTATTTAGATACACTTCAACTTTATCCATATGAAACTATGACAAATTATTTTCTCATCAGGTTGTCGAAACATTCTACGCAACATACTGTGAAAGCTTAAGATTGCTTGCTAGCTGACCCTCAAAATACAAATACATATACATATACATACATATACACATATATACACCACAAACACTATAGAAAAGAACAGACAACATTTCTCACATTTCTTGTAGATGCTACGTCCGATGAATGTGTGTAATATATGTATGGATCTGTACACGTATATAGTAGGACAAAATTCTAACAAATCCACAAAGAATAAGAATAACAAGAATTAGAAGATACTAGTTTCATAATACTAAGCAAATTTAGACCAACCGAGAAAACAATTTAAGGAAAAATTGAACTTTTTTTTTTTAAATCAAATACTAATTCTTATAAATCACCAAATCGTGTAGTAATTAGAAGTTAGAACAGAGTGAACATCCGAAAAATATGCTAACACACAAAGACGATGACGTCAGATCAAGAAAATATCTAAAAATTAAAGAGATCGAAATTAACGAAGATATTTATTAATTATTACTACCACCAAATTCGAAGTCTCTTCTTGCTCGTCGCAATTTCTTGCACCCACCCCATAAGTATACTCCGAATCTCCCATAACCTTGTCCGAACCTTCAAATCTTCGAAAGCAGAAACAAAAATTAATTAAATTTTTTATTTTAATTTTTTGTAGTTGGAACTACGAAGGAAGAATGATATTTGTAGGAAGACAATGTTGGGTGTTTGTAATATCATGGCATGTCAAAAAGGAAAAAGGAGGTGCCAGCAGATGGCCGCTTTAACACGTGTCAACCGGAGAGCAAGTGGCCTCGTCAATGGATTGGTTCAGAAAAATATCTTTGGGGCCATAAAGCACAAAGCTAAAATTAACAAAATATCTTCTTGTCTTTTAAAAAAGTTTATTACTACTATATAAACTGGGTTCATTGTACTTCAACTGCCAAACGACAAAGTTTCGTGTCTTTTAAACTACCTCCGGTAATAAATAAACTACGTCCTCCACCGATTCCAATTTTAGATTGTGTGCCTGGTTCCTCTGTTTCGATTCTATGGGTATAATTTTATTATTTTCTTTTTTTTTTGGCACGAAGGATCGACAAAATTTTATTAATTTAGCAAAATATTAAATTATCGAACAATAATTTAGTAGGTTTTTTCAAATCGAGACTAGAAAGAACTATTATTTAAGTGAAGTTATTAATTTATTGAATATTAATTTTATCGAGGTTGTACTGTATATATGCATCGGGCAAAATGTATTATCGTGCAATAACTCATAAACCACAAAAGATGTGTAAATTGCATTGGGTTCGATTTGATTATCCGGAAAGTATGTTAGATCTAATTTGATCTAACATAAGAGAAAATCTAAACTCTATGTTAATGTCCAAATATTGTGTATGTATATATATATATATATATATATATATATATATATATATATATATATATATATATATATATATATATATATATATATATATATATAAATACATTACTCAGTAGAACTTCAAACGTTAGGATCAAATGAGATAATTATAGTTTTCATCCTTCAAGTTTGTACCAATTTTATATTTAGTTTCCTGTGTTCACAAAAGATACATTTAGTTCCTCAAGTTTCGATAATCTAACATTTTTTGTCATTTTCATCAATTTACCATTAGTCTGTCACTTAAGGCAGTGATAGATACATACTTGATTCTGGTGATACTAACGAAAAATTGATGAAAATAATTAAAAGTGTTGAATTTTTTAACACGAGGGACCGAATGTGTCTTTATGAACGGGGGACTAAATATGAAATCAGTTCAAAAAAGTCTTGCATGAGAAATAAAACACTTATTGCCTTTTCATATATAATGGAACAAAGGAGAACAACAAACAATGAAAACATAGCCAAAAATTTATCCATCTGCATAACTGATGAATTTTTTGTTCTGTAAATTATCCCAAAAAAAAAAAGATTTTTTGTTCTGTACAGAAACAAGCGCTTCTTGCAGATAACACACAACACCTCTTTGAAGAATCGAAAAATCTTATAAAAAAGAGTCAAATATGTGGTTTTGGATCTTCCTCGGCTATTACTTCGTCTTGCAGGTCTATCTGCCCTGCAATCGGAGAATCACAAGAAAGAATATTAAGGAGGAATCCCACCAATCGTATCAAAGTCTATATATCCGTATGAGAAAGGTGAACATACCGAATAATGACATTAAAGATGGAGGTTTCGAAGATCCATTTGAACTCAAATCGATGCCTGCATGGTCACAGTGGGGTAGCATAGATGAAGAAATATTTGTCGTAATTATCTACCTTGATAATGGGAGGATGAAAAATATTTACGAGCATAGATAGTTCCTTGTAATTTTACGGACAAGGATTTAAAAAAGCAAGGTAAGAAAGTCGATCCATTACCTGCACTCTCAGCTGATTTCAGGAGATCGGATTTCTTGAATGTATATCCAATAAAGTTGGCATCTTTAGATGTTAACATCTGCTCGTCAATGTTTGCCACCGAAATGATGAGCAAATCCGCAATTTTATTAAATGGTATCGAACACAAAGAATCTTAACATCAGATTTAACTGCAGAATAAAGATTTAAAATGTACGCAGAAATTTATCCGAGTAATTACCGTCATAAGTCATTTCTCGACTACACACTATATAGTATATACATACGACCAAATTATTACCCTTAAAAGTCAATTATTTGTGCGGCCGTTCATTAAAAGATTCATTTTTAAATTCACAGTTTAAACTGCGGTACTGAAAAACATAAACGTAATTTCTTTACCTTCCTCCAATGTCCGACTCGTGGTGTATCAGATGGTGGCTTTTCTCCCTAAGAAACATCGGCAAAAGAGGCACAAAAATTAATAAAAATCGTTTGTGCAATCTCCACGATTGATAGATATATATCCAACTTTAAAGTACTCACTTCTTCAAACTTTTCAAAATTCTGTGTGTCCAAATCACTATTTACAGTCGGTTTGTAGGCAGCTTCCATTTCATAAAGGGTGTCCCATTTAACGTCTCTAAGCCACGGATGCCCCTGAAATCGGAAATAAAATATTAAATATTACGATATTTTCATAAATATATAAGCAATTAATGTTTTAAAAATTCCATACCTTTATTTCTTCGACACCTCGGGTACCCAACCTTTTGTCAACATCACACAACAAATGACAGATCAAATCCTTGGCCTCGTCGGAGACTTTTGGTTCTTCCGGGAACTTTAAGCACGTTTTCCAATTAATTATCTGGTACCAAAAAAAACGGAGGGAGCATAATTTATTAAACAGTAAAAATATGAAATTTATTTCACTCCCGACACCCGTCTTACTGCATTGATTTAGTCGAAGAGCTTCAAAGGAAAAGGGGGTACTTGGATTCAATTTTCCATGTTTGAAAGGGAGATGTAAAAACTTGATCGTATGCAATAATCAAGAATAAATAAACGGAAGTTAGAGATATACCTTACGACACGTCATTCTAGGTTCATCGGAACAAAAGGGAGGGTACCCTACGAGCATCTCATACATTATAGCCCCCAAAGACCACCAATCACACTCCATTCCATATCCTTTCTTCAATAAAACTTCTGGTGCCATATAATCGAGAGTTCCAACGGTCGAGTATGCCTAGACAAAAATAAAAAAAAATAATAAAAATAATAAAATCCGGAAAGAATAAAATCTACATAAAAGAAGATAAGAGTGACATGGCATACCAAGGCACGACGATTCCTTTTCCACTGTTGTAACTGCTCCTTAGCCATTAACCAAGGAGCAGTGCCTATGGTGGAATTGCCTTCGCTCTCGATTACAGGATCTTGACTCGTGAGATCATCATCTTCCAATAAAATTGACGAATATTTTTCCAGCGGCTTACACAAGCCAAAGTCGGAAAGCTTTAAATGCCCGTTTCGGTCCAAAATCAGATTGTCTGGTTTGATATCCCTAAATGGAGAATATTAGGATTAGATTTTATGTTTCACAAACGAATAAAATAAACACATTCATATTGGAGGAAAAAACTTCGGACATTTAATATTCCAATCACCTAAATCAATTTAGTTTTCTTGTTCTTTACATTAAGGCTATGTTTGGTTCGTGCATTTCGAAATGAGGAAAATGAAGATGTAAATGAACGTAATTAGGAGTAACATAAAAGGCCTTAGTAGGAAAAAATAATTGAAAATAAAAACTAGTTACCGGAAAAGTAAACGGAAAAGAAAAATGTGATATTTATCGAAACAAGACTTCTGCAATCGACATTGTAATTAGTTTGAGATTATATCAAAATGATGACGTGTACCTATGTACATAACTATGCTGGTGGATGGAATGGATAGCAAGAATACTCTCGGCCATGTAAAATCGAGCAACGTCTTCGGAAAGAATATCCTCTCTCATTAACAAAGTCATAATATCGCCGCCAGGTAAATACTCCATTATAAGATATAAAAAGTCGGAATCTTGGGACGAATAACATAGCTTCACTATGCACCGACTATCCAGCTCCCAGAAGCGAGTTCCTCTCGGAACGTACATGCTCAACCTATTGAGGAATTAAAATCGATTAACGAATTAAAAAGTAGCATCTTGGCACTGACTATCTGTATACGTACACGTGTCGTATATTCAATTTTTTTTTTTTTTTTTTATTTGAATTACGTTTGCTCACCTGTCCGCGGCTGAGCATCTCCAATTTTTTCAATTTTTTCATGGCATATATTTCTCCTGTATTTTTAGCTCGACACAGCCTCACCTGCATTGCTTCACCAGCTTATATATAAGTCATCCAAAATTTTGAAAATGGATATATACATTTAGCTTCGATCAAAATATTCATCGAGTGCTCATAGCAACTCAACCCGTTACCGGTTTTCCAAATCCTACTTATTCGTATCAAATCAACATTATAAATCCTAACATGCAGATCAAAACATGAAAAACAAATGCAATTTCCAAAATAAAATCTGCGAATCAAGATTGTTCGATTGAGATAAAACGCAAAATAAAGTTACCTCGCCGAATGCTCCTTTGCCAATGACAGTCAATTGCTCGAAATCATCGATACCTACTTTATGCCTCTGCAATCTCATATACTCGGTTTCCCTTTTCTCCAAATTCCGCAACAATTTCTCTTCGTCTTCACTCGATACTTGCGCCTCTTGTGCCCTTCTTTGCAATGCACTCCTCCTACAAAAAAAAAAAATTCAAAAAGAACCCCTTTAAATTACACAGATTGATTAACACATTCAACAACATAAATGGAGTCCCTTTAAGAGTTCAAGTGAAATCTAACCCAATACAACTTCAGGGTTAATTTGGGAATTAAAAAAAAAAGGGTCAAAGCCCATGTCAAAAGAAGAAATGAAAGCGGGGCAAGAATTCACCTCTCCTTGCGATCTTGCAAACCCTGCAAGTAATTCTTGTAATGATTCTCGATGAACTGTTTAGCGGCGGCGGCTTTCTGGCGAGTCACCGGCGACGAAACCGCCACATCGGGCTCCAAACTAAAGGCCCGATCAGCCTGCATCCTCATTTTCAGCCCGTCCATTCTCACCGGGCTTCCATCACCGCCCTCCATTAAATTCAATAATTCCACTTCTCAGATTAAACCCTCAACCAAACAAAAATCAAAAAAAAAAACAAAAACTCGCTCAAGACGAAATAAGGAAGTGGGTGGCGATTAATTGGACGGGTTCTTTGAAAAGTTAAGTTCTTTGGGGAGGATTACGAGGCAGAAGAAGTGAAATAAAGTACCTGAAACAGAGAGATAGAGATAGAGAGAGAGAGAGAGAGAGAGAGAGAGAGAGAGGGGAAAGTGATGTAGAGAGAGAAAGAACAGTTTCTTGATTTTTAGTGTGTTGTTTGTTGTATAGGAAGGAGTTTCTTCGATGTTGGATCGAGAAGAAGAATGTGTTGTTATTACGTATGGGGGGGGGGGGTGATGTGAACTGGCAACAGTGTCTGATTAGCTGAGAATTAGCTGTAATTTTTTTTATTGAGATTGGCATCATCAATAATTAAGTGTTTGTTTATTATCTTTAATTTTTATTTCCTTTTTCTTCTTGTTTTTTTTTTTGGTGTACGATGTTAGGAATCTTGAGCATGCTTGGGTCTTTGGTTTTGTGTCGGCGAGGGCTGTAATAACTTCCGGTCCGGGCTTTGGACCTCATCTCAACACTGTTAAATTCAAGACTTTCTTTGACTGAGTTAGGAAAATATGTGATGTGACTAAAATACCCTTCTCGTTGATTGACAATATAGTAAATGTAGTATATTTTGTTAGTGTTCGAGAATGACTATTGTAATAATGGAGTACAATTATTAATTAATAAACTTTTTTTTAATGTTACATCTTAAATATATGTAACTAAAACCAATTAATGTTGTTTGACTAAAATTTGCATTTAAAAAAGCGAAAAAAGTAAAGCTAACTGTTTCAAATTATTTGTTACTTTAAAATTTCACAGAAAACATTAATTGCATTTCTTCATCTTTCCTTCATTATTCTTTATTAGTTACGGTGTTTTAGTATTTACTGTATTGTTTTGCTATAATGTATGTATATTTAATTGGTTTCTTATGCAAAGCCAAAAAAAAATGACATATAATATCAGATGAAGAAAGTATGTGATTACCCTAATTAATGGAGTAATATATAATTGACTTTTTCATATAATTAAATTTTCAATTTTTGCTTTGTCGTGCGAGGTTTTTTGTTTTTATCAATTTATTTATGGGAAGATTGATAGCATCATAAGTGCACGTACTAATAAAATAACATTACCATGTGCAGTTCCACTTATTAATTGTCTCCAAAAAACCAAATAAATAAAATAAACATTTTTTAGTCAGTATGTATAATTTTATTGAAATAGTGCAGATTTCAACAAACATTAACACGGTATGTTTTTAGACATTGCAAGATCGAGATTCAGCCCAATTTAATTGTAGGCCGGACAATATTTTCCAGATAATTTTTGTATATTTCATTAGATTTTTTTTCAATCGAAACATGTCAATTTGTGTCATGTGTTGTCCATACTGTTTTGTTCAATATAATGTAGGCCGGACAACGTTCAAATGTTGTCCATACATTTGAATTGTGAACATTATTGATCCGCTTATAAAACACTTCGATCGAATGGGTCTCTTTGTAATTACAATGGGAGTGAAAATTTGAGGTTCTCGAACGTAACCGAGCTGTTATAAAAAGTAAAATCTGACTGATGTCGGAGTTAGTAGGGATTGATACGTGTTTCGCAGGTGGATTCTTATATATTTTGGGAATATATGGTCCGGTTTTAGTAAAAATGAGAAAAAACTACCTTCCGCAGGTGGGAGTATGATCTATAACATTATCATCCGGACCCCCAAGACTCCTGAAAATTGGGGCGAGCGTATACGTGCCGCCATATCCATCGTCCTCCTTACCAATTTTTTGTTCTCCTTCGGATAGCCCGTGTAATCATCATCAGTGCCCCCTTAATAAGTTGCCTTTTCGTACATTTCCATAGGCATTTTCCCCAATTTTCTGTTGTTGACGGTCATTAAACCATGAAATGATGGTGTCAGCGTATTTATTGTACCGGCGTGTATGCGAGACGCGCCTGCCAGAGTTATCAATGCATCCATGTGGACCTGTCTGAGCTATAAATGTGTTGAACAGAGTCATTTTGGCTCCCTCCCGAGCGCCGCATTCGGCTAGCATGTGCTTTCTACACTCGGAAACTTTGAGATTGAAATCAACGAAATTCGAAATTCAAGTGTAACATAGAACACATATGATAATATTTATATTTAAAATAGTAATTTTGAGATAAAAAAAAATCAGAATTATTTTTATGAAATTAAAATTGGATTATAATTCGAAATCTAATATTTCACTAACTAAAAAATTATTTTTAATTAGCAAAAAGTTAATATAATCCAAACTTTCAGTCTAAATTGATCCAACTTGTTGAACAAAGCCCATGTTAAACTCGGCAGGTCTTGGTCTTAATCTGGTCCGGGTCCAAATCCTCTAATAGGGCCAAGTCTCGAGAGTCCATTAAGCTAGAGAGTCGGGTCGGGTTTTCCAATTATCCGGATGAATTACCCGTTATCCAAAATCCACCCGCCAAACGAAAGTATCTTATGCTCACTGCGCATTCAGTCCCCTGCACAGGTTTATCTTCTACTCTTCAACTCTGGTGAAGAAGAAGAAGAAGATTCCACCTTCTTCCTCCGTTTCAAACCAATCAAGAACAATGATAGCTAGTCGTGATTTTTTTGAAGTATAAACCCACCAAAAAAATTAAATTCATTCCACACCACCACATATAAAAAAAAAATGGCTTCAATTTGTGTTTCTAATTCACCCGATATTCGTTCCTTCCACAGGAAACCCATCTCAAAAAACCTAATTTTGTCCCCCTTTTCTCTATCCTTCCCGTTTCACAAAGCCCCACTATGCGCAGTGAAGACCGGGTCGGACGACGGTGGGGCGGCGGCGCGTAACAGCCAGACGCCGTACGCGGCGGATTTGTTGAGGAAGCCGCTGGCGTCGTCGCCAGCCCCAGTCGAGCAAGAAGAGACGGTGAAGGAATATTCGGGTGAAAAGAAGGGTGGGGATGGTGACACGTGGGTCGATTGGGAGGACCAGATTTTGGAGGATACTGTGCCCCTTGTTGGCTTCGTTCGAATGATTCTTCACTCTGGAAAGTAAGCTTCTTTAAATTCAGTCCTTAAATATAAGATTGATTAGACTGAATAGAATTAAATTACACATTTGCCCTGTTCATGATACTGTAATATGAGATATGTTTCTTGGTTGGAATTCATGGTTATAAAGTAAAGTATTGTGTAATATGTAATATCTCTAATCTAGTATTTGGATAGGGATTATTTAAGATAGTTTGAAAATCGTACTTCCGAATTACTCGACTCGATAGGAGTTAAACATAAATCATGCATAATTCACAATCCATAACGGATCTTGATGGGATAGTGGAGATGAGGTATAACTTCGGGACTCTAAGTCGCGATTTCTAGTTTAAATTAACGCTGAAGAAAGTTTTTTATTTGTAATGTAATAAACAGGTTTTATCGGTTCAAAAGTACTAAATTGTTGCCCCGATGATATAGATTTGGTGCTTCAGTGAGTTGATGCAATGATACATGAATTTGAATGCTGGTTGTGTCTCCCTAATGATTTGAATTAGGATTTTGAACCTAAAAATGCAATGATTGTTTTTACTTATGTGTGCATGCTAGTGTAGATTGATCAAGGTTGAATCAATGCTTAACGAAAAGTATTTATGAATTTGGTTCTGCAGATATGAAAGTGGTACTCGATTGAGCCCCGAACATGAGAGAACTATTCTGGACAGGTTGCTGGCTTATCATCCCGAGAGTGAAAAGAAGATTGGATGTGGAGTCGATTACATCACGGTCTCTCTCTCTCTCTCTCTGGATATGAAAATTCATTTTTCTTATTCACTTATGTTCTAAATGAAATGTGCTCACGTATTCTTTCCAAGGAAAAAAATTAGGAAGGGAAAGTTTTAATTAGTGGTGTAAATGAGTTGAGCCAGCTCAACAAAATCTCTAAGTCGAGCTCGATCCCACTTTTATTTAAAAGCTTAAAATCCCGTCTTGTGAGTTTTTTCCTTTAATTTTTTGTATAAATATTTAGCTAAGATATTATTATACTTAAACTCCTCGTAAATGTCGAGTTTCTATATAGCACTTCCAGGGTTTGCCTTTCTGCATATGAGAATCCAAGTACTATCTAACAAGTACTGGAAAATATCCACAAAGTTTATTGCCAAACATATTTATGTGAACAATAAATATCTCATTCTACTATTTGTTCAATGACGATTTAGCATAATCGAGTGTTTATGTTCGAGTATGTTCATGGGATTCAATAATTCATACAATAAATAAAGCAACACCAACAACATCCTTTTATGCTTGTGTCAACGTGGCAAAAAACTTATGAAGCACATGTCGAAATCAAATATTTCCTCTCCTATTGATGCAACATTAGCTTCTTAGACGACAAAGGAGCATAGATAGAAACGAAACACATTACTTATTCCTCCTCCTCTCCCTATGTTTTCCGCCTAATTAAAAACTTGCAATCTACAACTTCCATCCCGTTTGTTGGATTAATTAAAGATTCTTGATATCACATAACTATGATCGCACGTTTTTTTATGATTAATCGTTTCAATTCAATTGTTGATATGTGGAGGTTCTTTTGTTTATGGTTTGCAGATTGGTTACCACCCTAATTTTGAAACGTCGAGATGTTTATTCATAGTTCGTAAAGATGGGGAATTGGTCGATTTCTCGTACTGGAAATGCATCAAGGGCTTGATAAGGACAAACTATCCTCTCTATGCCGACAGCTTCATCCTCCGCCATTTTAGGAGGCGTAGACGAAATGATTGAAGCTACAAATTTTTCCTAGACTGTGCATTTGATTCGGTGCCGAAAGTTATTTTATATATATATATTTTTTGTTCTCTAATTTCTTAGTGTATCATCTTTACTAAAGCTTATTGTTGTCTGTTAGAGCCGGTGTGATTGGAATTCAATAGAATATACTTTTGATGAGAGCTTGTGGTTGCTTAAAGGGAATTTAGCTGCCCTTTTGTATTAAATATTATCATTTGTATTGTTTGGTAAAAATATGCAATAATATTGGTTTCTGCTGCAAAGGCTTAATAGGGTTTAATGAAGCAATCTTGGGACAATGCTTTAATTGGGTGAGACATGTCACACATGCTGGTTAGTTTCTCTGTCTTTTCTGCTGCAAAGGCTTAATAGGGTTATTTTTCTATATATTCTCTAGTTTGTACTTGCTTTGTGCAAAAATGCAGTTTCTAATGCACCACAATCTGATATTAATAAGCCAATAGATACATCGTATGACCATCTTGCTTCAAAATGTGGAGCTCGAATGGGATGAAACATGTACGACTGAAGAATATTCCAAATAATCTAGAAGATTCCACTAAATTTAACACTGCAAGGATGGACATGTAAGAAGATTTATAGTTTGAGGAGTGGTTGTAATTAGCCAAACATTAGGGTTTTTTTCGTAATTTTACTTTTTGTGTTTCCGAAAATAAAAAAAGTTCTGGTGGGGAGCGTACACCACCACCTACGTCGCCACGTTACAACTCCAATTCCATGCCACAAAACGACAAAAGGCGAAGCTTGACTCCAATCTCAACCGTTAATCCCCCCGCATACGTGAACCGTCGAGATCAACCCACTCACCTTGTCTCCATTGGCTAGAAATCACACCAACCCCCCTCCTACTTTCATAATGGTTGGTCCACGCTTTATGTCAGTGGGTCCCACCTCCCATTTATTTTTTTATTACAATTATTAAACACCCTCTTTCCCATTTCCCCCTTCCGAAGTGGGACACATGGCGAAATCTCACCACAATTTCGAACAAACCAAAGACGATCGAAGAAAACTGGCAAACTATTTAACCACACATCATTCTAAATTGGCAAAGAGTTTTTTTACAGTTTGCGTTTCTTTCCCAATTTTCCTCTCTGTACTTATCTGCTTATTTAGAAATTTCCTTTTGTTGCCAATTTTGATTTGTGATTGTGCTTAGGGTTTTTGTTTTGCCTCATTTGAATTCCTTTTGTGGAAAGATCAGTTCTTTAATTTCACTGGTTATTGTGTATAAGGTTAATTTCGTGAGCGTGTTAAATCCGAGAAGGTATATACATATACATACGTACATGTGTGTTTGGGGGTGTGTATGTAAAGGTAGTTTTTTTCTACTGAAGAAAAGTTTGATTCGCAATTGAACTAACTTGTGGTGGTGGTGGTGACTGTGTTGTAGTACAAACGGGTCTGGATTTGATTAACGCTTACCTTAGGAGGGTTCGGTTGAAATGGGGGGTGATTTCAACTTCAATAACTTCGGAACTGATCCGCCGGGGGGCAATTACCCCCTGACACGTCAGCACTCGGTTTACTCATTGACTTTCGATGAGTTCCAATCCACGGTTGCTGGAACCACCAAGGATTTTGGCTCGATGAACATGGATGAGCTGCTGAGAAGCATTTGGAGCGCCGAGGAAAATCAGATCTTCGGATCAACTAGCGGCGTTGGTGGTGGTGGTGGTGGTGGTGGTGTTGGCGGAGACGGTGGAAATGGCTATTTGCTGAGGCAAGGGTCGTTGACTCTTCCTCGTACGCTTAGCCAGAAAACGGTGGATGAGGTGTGGCGAGATATGGCCAAGGACTATAATAATAGTAATAGTAATGCCGGAAAAGATTCTGTAGCAGGCGGCACCACTGGCGGCAGCTTCGGTGTTCCTCAAGGGCAGCCGACTTTAGGTGAGATCACACTCGAGGAGTTCTTGTTTAGAGCTGGTGTTGTGAAGGAAGACAACACTCAGTTTGCTTCTGCCAAGCCGTCTAATAATAGTAATAATAATAATAGTAGTAGTGTTAGTCTCGGTTTCTTTAGTGAGCTATCACGCCCCGTCACCAATCCTGGATTGGACTTCGGGATTAGTAATCAGATCGCTATGCAATCTGCTAATCTACCGTTAAACGTGAACGGGGGTCGATCCTCTACTTCACACCATACGGTGAACAAGCAGCAGCTACTTCCTAAACAGGCTGCTACTTTGGCATATAATACAGCTCCTCCAATGGGAATTCCGCAGTTGAGTACTAGTATGGTTCAGAGTGGAGGTGTCGGGATTGTTAGTTTAGGAGGTAATAATACAGTTATGACAGGATCTCCGTCACTTTCATCGGATGGGCCCACAAAGAGTAACACATCTTCGGTTTCGCCTGTGCCTTATGTGTTTAACGGTGGTTTAAGGGGTCGGAAAACTGCTGTTTTGGAGAAAGTTGTCGAGAGGAGGCAAAGGAGGATGATCAAGAACAGAGAATCTGCTGCTAGATCACGTGCTCGCAAGCAGGTAAATTCATTTTTATCCGTTAATGAAGTTTCTAAGGCGGTGTAATAAATCGATATATACACAGGCATACACTATGGAGTTGGAAGCAGAAATTGCGAAGCCGCAGGCGGAAAACGAGGAGTTGCAGAAGAGACAGGTGCATAATTTCGTATTTATTTTCTCGTTATTACAATGTAGTTTATTTATTTGTAGTTATATGGTGACACTTCTCTTGTCTTTTTCGCTGTTCTTGGATTATGTAGGCTGAATTGATGCAAATGCAGACAGGTACATACAATTTGTTTTCTGCTTTGTTTCTTGGCATTTTGTTTGCGTCGATTTTATTTTGTACTTTGAAATCTATTAAATCGTATTTTTTCTCAATTGAAATTGCTATTCAGGTAATGGAGACGATGATTCGACGAAGCAACAAAACGAGAGTAAGAAGAAACAATGCCTTAGAAGGACGCAAACGGGTCCGTGGTAAATACTAAATACGAAATACTGTATTTTTGCAGCATTGATTACTGAAATATATTTGTAACACTGTAAATGTAATGTATAGGGACATCTTTTCTGTTGTAGATCAATAGAAATTAGATGATTAAGGTTTTTTTTTTCCATGGAGTTTCTTTTTGACAGTTTCCCCCGGAGAGATATGTATATGTACAGTACAACGCTATAAATACGTGTAAGTGGTGGAGCCAATACACGGCCAGCGGGGGGCCATGGCCCCCACTAATTTTCATTAAAAAATATTTATATCGGAATTTTGTAATTTTCCGACACACAGTAGTATTGTCCGAATTTTTAAAAGTTGGCCTTTCGGACGCAAAATTCTGGTTCTGCATTCAATCGAAATTCTAATGAACTTAAAACTTAATTATCAATGTTTAAGGAATCGGATTAAAATTTGGAAATTGGAATTTCTACATAACCCTTAAATTGTTCGGAAATTATGATAGGGCTCGTGGATTTTTTAATTTTTAATGTTTTATATATAACTAAATATAACAGATATGGTAACGAACAAATGTTAATTATTATTATTTATTAGAACTTAAATTAAAAAAAAAAAGATAATAATAATAATAGACCGGGAAAAACAATAACGCGAGTCGGCGTAGCATTTCTCACTCTCGCTTAGTCTATTGACAGAAAAAAGAAGCAAGTACGCACAATCGTCAATCACAAATAGGGTTTTGTGATTTCTCCAAACACCATATTCAAATGATAGAACTTAGGGCGTAGCAATCACGCTACGATATCACCTCTACTGGACCACCGGAGTCGTTGATTTCTCCATCACCAGCGACAGCGGCGGTGGCGGCGGCGATTGGGAAAGAAGCTTCCGTCTAAGCTTTATCCTCTTTCTCTCCGATATTTGGTAAGGATCTCTGAGTCTACTGCGCCATTATGTATTTCGCATTGTACCCAATTTTCTCAAGTCGCGAAAGTAGTTTGAATCGATTCACCTAAATTTCAGCATTCTTAAATTTAGGTTTACCAATATATTTGAAAATTGCTGAATTACGTGTTCGTTGTGCATTTCTCGATTCTAATTTGGAGCGAACCTGATACTAATATGGCCGTGCTGCTTTTTTCCAGCTATTATATGATGAAATTTAGTGAATTAACTTAATGATTGGGCTATGTGTTACCTGAGTATTAGGGTTGAGCATATTGGAGAATGTTAGCATGTTGTTACATTTATTTATTTCTGATGCCGAACATCCTTGCTTGTGCTTGTGTTGAATTTGCTTTAGATTTCCGCCCGCAAGTTGAGATGAGAGATGTTGACCGATTCCATTATAGCATTTTTTTTTTCTTATGTCATTGTAATGATTCTTAATTATTTATGTATCCATGTTAGGCCCGATGAGACTCATCCGGAGTGTTCTTCGACCTGCTAATATCAGCTTGTCTCGCCAGTTTCAATGGTGCCAAGTAATCAAGCCTTCACGTACTCATCTACATCCAGGTAAAATTACTCTGCCATTTTCCTAAATATTTATTTCTCTCCAACATATTGCTTGTAGACTTAGTTTTAGTTAATTACTTAATTAACAGCATTTGTGATAATGTTTCTAGTTTTATTGATCAATAAATAATTGATGCATTTGGTGTGGTATCCTAAGTGTGTCTCGGCTTTTTTTCTATTTCATACTTCCTCAGTATGATTAGAGATATAATAAGTGGTTGTGCATATTCTATATAAATTTAGTAATGATTGTGGATTACATTTTTCTTTTGATTTTGATTTTTTTATTAGATAAGAGTTGTGTAAATCCTATGTAATGTGTCGCTGAAAGCATATATATATATATATATATATATATATATATATATATATATATATATATATATATATATATATATATATATATATATATATACACATATATATATAGATATACCTATACAGATATATATAGATACATCCACTCATATGCATGTGTCTCATATAAAGTGGTCTGAAAGGTCATATGCAGCTTCCGCTCCCTCTAATACTATGGAAGACAAAAACTCACGGAGAAGGCTCTCAAAGGATGAACGTATATATATGGTGGAAATATATTTCAACAAGTATGAAATCTCTCTGAATTTTCCGTGTGTTTGGGTGATATAGCGAATCTGACATATTTCATAGATTCATATCCACTTTTTAGAAATATATGAATTATGAATAAGAGAAGATAACTTATC